ATTATTTTGTGCCGTGTTTAGCCCTTTTGATGCCAAAGGCCACAAATGAAAGGCACTGCCACCTCCTCCTGGCCAGCATTTTTAGTCAGGGAGCCTCTGGAAGGCATCGTGTCCACGGCCCTTCAAAACCTGGGGCCGTCCTTGAGTGGAAGGGAAGCGATACATTCCGTATTCCCAAGTTGCACTTTCATGAGGATCAGGACATGGCATATGTAGGGGGCGCCACTTACGATAGAGCTTCAAGTCCCGTACTGTGCAAACTGGCTGGTGGATTGTTCTTGGAACACAAGTCATATAATCCACCTCTTTACATTCAGCATGATTGTATCATTACCCAGTCTGGCCTTTAATTGTTAGAAAAGACTACCTCAAATCCAGTGTGACAAACTCATTACCCTGCTGACCCTGAAATGAGCCCCTATTAAGGAACAAAATACTGTCTGATTCAAAATGGCACTGTGTCGTGAATTTTCCCATCATGGTGGAGGCAGCCTTGGATGGAGTTGCATTTAATCACTCTTGCTCGAAAGAAACACTTTTCAAAACGTACCTCTGCATGACCCGGTGAATTTCCAGGCAGAGGAGACAAGGAGGCACACGCTGAGGAAACAAACGGACCCTTGTCTGCATTTAAAGCTGCAGCACCTTGTATTCCCAGGGCTGCCTTTGTGTGGCATGCTCAGATCCATCCCTTCATAATTAGTAATCAGAATTCATCCAAGCGTTTAATGTTCCAGCTCTAAATGATGATTAATAGAAAACAATATGAACGTCTAAATCTCATCTGAAATGGAAGGGCAGGCAGTGTTTGGCAAACAATTGAGCTTGTTGCATTGCAACACAACAGCTTTGGGCAAATTAATATAATTTGAAGATATGGATACCTCAGCCAAGGAACTATTACTATATTAGGCAGAAAAATTCAGGGGGGTCGCCATGTTGGTCTGAAGCAGCAGAATGAAGTTTGAGTCCAGTGGCACCTTTCAATCAATCTAATTTATTGCGGCAGGAGCCAGTAAAAGTGGCACCTTTAAGACCGACAAAGTTTCATTCAAAGTGTAAGCTTTTGTCTGAAGAAGTGTGCTGTGCAGACAAAAGCTTACACTTTGAATAAAACTTTGTTGGTCTTAAGCGTGCCACTGGACGCAAACTTTGTTCTGCAGCAGAATAATGCTTAGATGGGATTTGACCCTCTGAATTAGTTTCTGCTCCGGTCTGGTCTCCTTTCAGTCAAGAAGAGTGGTCAGAATAGTGACTTGCACCAAAACACAAAAACCCTCTAAGGGCAGGTAATTTACGCTTGCCTAACTCAAAAAGTAAACTTTCTTGGGCATGGAAGGTCTCAGTTCTAGTGCAGATAGTCTGTTTTCAGCTATCAGAAGCTTGAATTGCAGCACAAATGGTATTTAATGAAAAAAATTATCATACAGCATAAGGAAGATATTTAACAGATGCAAGGACCAAACAGGAATAACAAGCTTAGGTTACAAAATGGTATATGTTGTATGCTAATTTGCTGCCCACCTCCACCAATATGTATGGACTGGTAACTTCCATTTCACTGCATCTGAAGAAGTGTGCGTGCACACACAAGCTTATACCCGGAATAAAACTTTGTTGGTCTTCAGGGTGCCCCCACTGGACTCAGACTTTGTTCCACTGCTGCAGACCAACATGGCCACCCCACCTGACTCTTCTGGTTCTTTAATCAGTTTTAATCTGGACTGTAAGAGGATCCTTCCTTTTCACTCACAACTTCAAAGTTTATTCAGGAGCCTTCAGTAAGGAACTGTAAAGGCTTTTTGGTGCTCCACGTAAATGCCTACTGGATCATCTCTTGGAACACCAAAAACACTTCTGCTGATTCTTTATCACCAAGGTTTGTTCTTCCCTTCCCATCTGAGATGGTGTCACATACAAGAATTTTAAAAAACCAGTAAAACAGTATGATTAATATGCCACATGAAGTAGTGACATTAAAATCTAATTAGGCGCTGTATCATTCCAGTCTTGATCCATCTACATGGGCTACCAATTTGCTTCGGGGCTCAGTTCAAGGTGCTCATGGTTGTGGTCACACACGCGGAAAAAACGGAGGGGGGGGGGGCGAGGCTATTTCCTCCGGAGGAATTTGACCCGCAGTTGCATGATCACACCTCCCTTTGAAGCTGCGGGCACAGTCTGTCAATGTGTGATCAGACGCAACTGCGGGTGAGTCGGGGTTTTTTTTGTGCCATTTTTTCCTCATGCGCTTAAACGAGGGATCGATGAATCGCATCGAGGGCTCCCTGTGGAGTTTGCGATGATGTGCATGTTGCGAAGAGGGGGGAAACAACCGCACAGAGCCGGGATGGCCTGATCAGACCATCCTGATGCCATAAGAGCACACTGGAGCGATCAGACACAGGAAAGTCCGTCCGTGGCCTGTCACAACCCATTTACTACCAGATTTTCCCCGGTGTCTTTTAACTCCGCTTCTGCGGCAGAGCAGAACGGGTTGCTTCCCAGATGTTGTCTGATCGCACCCTTTAAATCTGCCTGGCATTTGCACCTATGTCGGGTCTAATTGTGCGTATGATCGCAGCCCATATTGGCCTTTAAAGCCCTGCATGGCCTGAGACCAACGTTCCTTAAGGATCTCCTTCTCTCACATGAACTAGCCTATTCACTCCGGTCATTTTCAGAGGACCTGCTTCAGTTGCCCCGTCATCTGGGGCTAGACAGGTGGCAATCCAAGAAAAGATCTTCTTGGTCGCAGCACCAAAACTTTGGAACTTCCTCCCTGGTGGGGGGGTGGCTATGGAGCCAGGCAAATTATGTTACTGGTTTTCATATGATTTTGGGGTAGGGGAATCTTTGTGGGCCCATTGGGGCTCTCAGCATCCCTGAACAAGAATGCAGGGATGAGACATGCAAAAGGCACTTTACCCTTCCTGCAGCTGCTGGGATTAATATCCCCAAAAGCACCAGGGGCTAGGCCCTGTAGACTGTCAGGTGCCAGGATTAACGGGGCTCCCCCCAGGTCTGAACACACCTTGCCCCACCCATCTGGCCTCCTCTAAAGGAGCCTGCTCAGGACTAGCTAGGCTGGGCCTACCTGTCCCCTTTTCCCATCACCAGGTGGTCTCCCCTGGATCTGTCTTCCCTGTCTGGGTCTTCCTTGTATTGGGCTGGGTCTAGGGTTACCAGACCCCCTGCTGGAGACAGGGATCTCCACCAACAGCCCCCCCCCCACCAGTCAGCTGGCTAGCAGGGCAACGTACCAGTAGAAAGAGGTGGGGGCTCCAGCATTTCCCTTGTGACATTTAGTTCCATTCTCAGAAAACCCAAGACCTTGGACATGGTTGCCTGTGTTTCAGTCTGTGCTCCAAAAAGAAATAACTGGTCGCTGTGCGAAATTTTAGGAACCTGCAAACTTAGACTCTCGTGAGTCCCCCTGGCTGCTTGGGCTGGCTGCCCCCCACTCTCGGGTGCATTAACGGTTGTCCTTCACACTCTTGGGATGAAACATCACTAGTGCCTTCATCTCCAATTGTCAATAGTCCCGAAGCAAAGTACATTTGTTGTGAGCTCTCCAAATGTCAGAGCAAACCTGTGTTATGTGCTTAGCTTTAGCATTTGGCATTTATTCTTTCACACTGAAAAAGTAGGCAAGTCCTTGGGCTGGAGGGGCTGGAGGGCATTTTAATTATGAGTAGACAGTCTCGAGGAGAAATGATCAAGGAAAGCCAGGCAAATGGTTTTTCCTTCAGTATGTCAGTTAAACCTTGCCTGCAAGTAGGGTGCCATAGTAGCAGAGAAGGTGAACTGTGGATCGGGGAAAATTCAGGGGAGTCACCGTGTTGGTCTGAAGCAGCAGAATAAAGTTTGAGTCCAGTTAAGACCAACAGTTTTATTCAAAGTGCAAGCTTTCGTATGCAAAGCACACTTCTTCAGACAAATGGAATAAGATCGCCTCAAGGGTTCCTTACGGGGGGGGGGCAGCCGTTAGGAGGGGCCACTCAGAGCTAAGATGCATACGCAGAGCTGAAACTGGATCAAATGGCCGGTAAGATCAATGGATAGCAGCAAATTAGCACGTAAATACAAGAGTTAACAAAAAGATGTAAGAATGAATCTAGAGTCCAGCAGTACTTGCATCTTGGCTCTGAGTGGCCCCTCCTAACAACTGCCCCCCACCCTCTTTTTCGGCCACATGACCACGGAAACGTCTTCGGACAGCGCTGGCTCTTCGGCTTTGAAACGGAGATGAGCACCGCAACCCTAGAGTCGGATTTTACTGGCTTTCGAGCAAGGGGACCTTTTACTTTACCTTCAATTTCCTGCTGCATGCTGTTGAAGAAGTGTGCTTTGCACACGAAAGCTTACACTTTGAATAAAACTTGGTTCGTCTTAAAGGTGCCCCCGGTCTCAAACATTGATCTGTGGATCGGGAAGTGCCTGGTCTGGATCTTGCCTCCATCACCTGTGTGTTCGCTGGCTTTAGGCAAGTTGTCATTTCTCAGCCTCGACCTCCCACATGCAATAGGATAAGAAGCAGACACACTGACAGAGCACTGTCAGTGTTCTGACCACTCCACAGACATTACTTGGTTGCAACCCTTGCAACAACCTTTTCAGGCAGGCCGGTGTCATCCTTGTGGGGCAGATGGGAGCATGGAGAGGTAGCTGAAGGCCACCTGGTGAATTTGTGGCAAAGGCAAGGCATGATCCAGGGACCTTTCAAACCACAATGCTTAGGTGCTGTTTGCTCAGACTGATGTAAAGCTGGCCAGTGTCACAAGGTGGCTGTAAAAGATTGTTTCGATGCGATGACTGTGAAGCATTTTGAATGTGGTGTACTGTTATTCATAGCTGTGTGCAGGAAGAATAAATTTAATGCATAGTACCAGAATCAAGTTTCTTCTTCACTTATTGTTGGAATTATTAGCATGTGGTTTAGGAGACAAAATTTAGATCTTATTTTCTTTCTCTCTCTCTCTTTAACTTCTGTATTCAAGGTTACCCAAATTTTGTTGCGACCTATGGCCGAGGATACCCTGGATTTGCCCCCAGTTACAGTTATCAGTTCCCAGGTATGTGAAATTTTGTTAATCGGTATCACAGAGCCAAAAGAAAGTTGTCTAGTAGATACTAACAAAGAGAGCAGATACTTGCAAAGCCTAAGAACAAAACAGCTGCTTCCACAACTGTAACTGAGGCACTGAAATCTCTACAAAAAGGACCTCTGGTGATGACCATTTCCATTTGTTCTTGGGCAACATGCAAGACTTGGGAAGAAAATAATTGGGAAGAAATACATGGGAAGAAAATAAGTATCCATTTTTGGTATTAATTGGTACTGGTTATTTGAAAACAGCAATCTTTTCTTTCAAATCAAGTGTGACTGTCGTCCATATTATTTCTGTCTCCGTGGAATACACGCGATAAGCTCTCTACCTCTGCCCCCCACGCAGTCTGTCTACAGCATCCCAGGGAAAGCCCCCTGTAGCAGAGGGCGGCTTCAGCCCTGATGCTTTTTCTGCTGGTTTGTCTCTTCCCCATTTGCCCCCCTTTTGGCGCAGCTGTCAGGCCAGCTGCAGGTAGTGATCTGCATTCACTCCCAAGTTCCTTGTCGCTGGTCCCGAGGCTTTGAAACGCTTGGCTGGCTGGCTTTTAAATACCCCTTCCTGCTGGTAATGAGCAGCTCCTTTCCATTTCATCTCTGCCATTGTCAACAGGCAGTCATGGAAACCAAATGCCCTGTACTGTTCTACATCAGCCACACTGCAGAAAAGTTTTCTTTCTTTCTCTCTCTCCTTTTGCTGCGGGTTTCCAGAGAGGCCTGTGAAGCCAATTTCTGACTGGTGTGCTTGTGGCTTCTTATAGCATCAGCCCATCTGGCTTCCCCACCCAGGAAAGCATTGCACTACGTGTTGAATCCATTACTGCGTGCTGCAAGCGAGTGACTATACCCCCTTGCCTTCTATTCTGTAATTGCTTACAAGGAAAAGGATGCAAAAGAGAGTCTTGCTAAGGTTAACCTAAGTTAAACCAGCTTCATAAAACTCTGTAGGGAAAATGGAAAATAAACCTGCTAGGAAACTTGAGTAAGCCAACAAATTTCAGAAATACTTTTGGATTGGCCGCACTTATAAGCATTTGTGATGTTCCCGGCTGAGAGTGGTTCATAACAGTCATTGCTCCAGTGTTTTGCAAACGTTGCCCTGCTGTCACAGGACATAAGCAAAGGTGTGCTGGATCAGGCTGTGGGTCCACCTGGCCCACTGTCCTGTTTCCAGTGATGACCAGCGAGAGGCTTCCAGGAACCCTCCAAATGGATAAGAAGGCAGCAGCTTTCTCTGCTGTCACCCCCAGCAACTAGCGCTCAAAAGGACACTCCATTATGGCCAACAGCCATTGATTAACCTGTCCTCCATGAATGTGTGCGGTATCCATAAAAAAACATTTTTCATTTCCCTGTCCTTTGCAGAAGCATGTCCCCACCCTATCACACCTGAAAACAGGGGCAATCTTATTTGTACGGGTTGTACTTGTGATACCTCCACCTACTGTATGCTGTGTTGATTCACTCCGCAGTAGCCCGTCAAGCTGTGGTCCAGAATTAAGGGAGATCTTCCTTTTGGGGGGTAAAACTTTGTTCCGTAGTGTATTATCAGTCGTGCAGAAGGAATCCTCCAGTTGCAACATGTGAACGGGGCAGGCATCAAGGGTCAGCGTCCTGGAGCCATCTGTAAAGGTCCGCAGCCTGGCAGAGTGCCTACTGTCGATAAGCTGGGCCCACCCATTCCCGCCAGGGATGAGCAGTCACCCCGGAGGCCCCTACGTGTCGTGGTGCCCTCTGGGACACTCTCGTATTTCGTGTTGGAGGATGCCATCGAGGCTTAAAAGTCTGTGGAAAATGGCGTTCCTTCGCGTTCCCCCCCAACCGACCTCTGCTGCACACAGTGAAGCTGTGTCCTTAGTTGGGGGAATCTTTCCCTGCCCCTCCCCGCTCAAAACCCCCCCGAAGCCAGTCCTATCCAGATTGTCCCCTACAGATTGTCTGTGTGTGCATATACGCTAAAGGTGGCACATGTCTCTCTCTCTTGCTCACTCTCTGAGATCTAGCAAGAAACTCGAGGAGGGGGAAGGAGACTGGAACTACTCTAGAAGTTCACGCAAGCAGAATTTTTAAAAGGCATCTCCAGATTCTTCCCAAAAGGCAAATTGGAGGTGGTGATAAGGACCAATAATAAAAAATTGGGCCTTTCCCTGGTCTGTGGGGACCCTTGGAGCATATGCAACTTCAGTTCCTCTTCTTCATGCAGTTCCCTTATTTCAGTGTGGCCCAGTTCTCCATGCCTGTGCTCCCTGGGGGACAGCAATCTCAAGCAGATTTTAAAAATAATAAGGTGAAGTAGCGTTAGAGCCTCCTCTGCTTCGCACATGGCAAAATGAAAGGCCTCCCTCCAGAGGAAGGGCTTCCCACAGCTGTGAGCCAGCAGCAATTAGGACTGTTGCCAGTCAAACTAGGTATTCATAGGATGGGTTTTCCAGGGCAGTTTCTAAGGTTACAACGGGAGAGATCTTTTTCTCACCCATGTAGGCCCTATGCAGTTTCTAACTTTACTGGCCAAACTGAAGATGACATGTTAAGAAATCTCTTTATACAGTTGCTGTTTCTGTAAAGGAAAGATCACTTCCTGAGTGGGGAGTTTTCATCAGAAGTGTAGTTCGGAAGGAGCAGGGGGTGCTTAACCCCTTCCTTGCCATTCATTTTTCTGCTGAATTTCCCCCCTCAATTTCAGGTGGGCATGTGTGAGAGTGAACATGCATTTGGAATCTTCCTGCATGGAAAAGACGTTCAGGGCGGGAATGGCACTGCGGCAGGAAAACATGCTGCTTCATCAAATACCCCGTCTCCAGTCTGCCTTTTGCGAAAAGAAGGAGCAGTTGGAAGGTTCAGTAGATACGTTTGCACAAGACGCTCCGTTTGGCTCCTCGCTCTCACACTTTGGACTGGGGGAGAGGCTCCCGTAGTTCTGCTTTGCCTTTGAGCTGAATCAATCTGGGTGAATTTCTACATTATGTTTCTTCTAAGCCAGTCGTGGCTCACTCACTTGGCCATTTATCAAAGCGTCAGAGATGCTTTCATCTTTTTCCCTTTGGAGATTTTTAACCTAAGTTCTCCTATGAGGTTTTCCATGTCATGTTAGAAAATCAGGGAAAACAGCCGTGATGAACCTTTTGAGTACATCACCTTCAGTCACATTGTTCAAAAAATGCAGTGAAATAGCAAAGGCAAAGATGGCCAGCCTTGTGGTTAAGGCATCAGTTGGAAGTTGCCAGATGCCTGGGGGGCCTTGGGCAAGTCACTTGCCATCTCTGACCTTTAGTTCATCTTGCCCTGCAAATGCAGGCTAAAGGAAATATTGTGCGTGATTCTGCTGAATGGTCAGCCACTGAGTGTGGTTCTCCCATTTTTGTTTGGTGGCTACACTTGTAAGTAACTTCAGCTCTCTGAGTTGCTGAGGACTAACTAGTGTCTTTTTCATTCTGCCTGACCAAGAATTCTGTGTATGCTTAAAAGCTTGCAAGGTTTTACACCAGTAGATGCAGAAAAGGTACTCAGAAAAGGTACTACCACACCTTTTGATACTGCCATATTTAGATCCCTCAGCTTACAGGAATGAAACTCTTTATGTTCCATTCTAACCTTGCTGGCTGTCAGCTTCAGCGGCCACATATATATCCCAATTGGACATTTATTGTGAGATGTGGAAGTCTTTGATGGGAGTTTGGCCTGCTAACCTCCTCAAGTCACTTGGACATCTGTATTGTATAGCAAGTAACCTTTTGATTTGAATGTGTAGTTTGTTGCGAATGCATGCACAGATCTATTGAAATGTGGCTAGGCCAGAAACCTAGTTTGGAGTTGAAAAGGGATCTCAAACATCTCTCACGGTTCATACTGAGGACATTCCATCCATCCATCCATCCACCTACTGAACATCCGTAAAAGAAGAGGGAGCAAGAATTAAGACTCTCCTTGCATCCTTTCCCTGGGATCCCAGGAAGATGAGTGAACTTTCATACAGTGTGTCAGTTTAAATGGGGAAGACTTGTCTGGACAGTAGTATGTGCAAAAAGGATCTAGGGGTCTTAGTAGACAATACACTGAAAATGAGTCAGCAGTGTGATGCCGTTGCTAAAAAGGCAAATGCAATTTTGGGCTGTATCAACAGAAGTGTAGTGTCCAGATCACGAAAAGTTATGGTACCACTTTACTCTGCTCCCATTAGACATCACCTAGAGAGTTGTGTTCCGTTTTGGGCATCACAATTTAAGAAGGATATATACAAGCTGGAACATGTCCAGGGGAGGGCAACAAAGATGGTGATGGGTCTGGAGACCAGGTCCTACAAGGAAAGGCTGAAGGAGCTGAATATGTTTAGCCTGGAGAGGAGACGACTGAGAGGTGAAGGGCTGTCATATAGAGGATGGTGCAGAGTTGTTTTCTCTTGCCCCAGAAGGTCAGACCAGAACCAACGGGTTGAAATTAAATCAGAAGAGTTTTCGGCTAAACGTTAGTAAGAACTTCCTGGCAGTTATCCTCAGTGGAACTGGCTTCCTCGGGAGGTGGTGGGCTCTCCTTCTTTGGAGGTTTTCAAACAGAGGCTAGATGGCCATCTGACAGCCATGCTGATTCTGTGAACTTAGGCAGATCATGAGAGGGAGGGCAGGAAGGGTTTCATCAGTGCTTAGTTCTTGTGGCCCTTTCTTACATGCCCAGTGAAATGCTGACTGCCACTTTGGGGTCAGGAAGCAATTCTCCAGGCCAGTTTGGCCAGGGTTACTGGAAGCTTTTTGTCATCTTCTGGGCATGGAACAGGGGTCACGCGGGGGTGGGGGTGGGGATGTATTTGTGAATTTCCTACCTTGTGCAGGGAGTTGGACTAGATGACCCTGGAGGTTCCTTCCAACTCTATGATTCTATGAACTTCTAAGCAGTTTAGCCCAGTCTTAGGGAAACGTGGAAAGTAGATGGACAGTATCATATGTTTCCTTCTGCATCTTCCTGTAGTTAAAAGCC